AGGCCACATTTTGGTAGCATGGTCTATTGAACTAAACATTGTAAGATATCTTTTTTATCAAACAGGGTAGAATACTTACACGCAACATTCCTGCATGATCCGAAGTGGAGTAGTTGGCTCCAAGGCTGAAATAGCGTCCTGGTGGAGGGAGCTTAATGCCTGCTGATCGTGCCTCCCGGTACAGATCACGATGTCGTCTGTATGAGGCAAAACAACGGAAAAAAGGTTTTAGGGATACATACATTACGATACCAGAATGCTAGAGGTTTCCTTAAGACATTTAGGCAAGTTCAAAACCCACTCGTTCATCGTCTTAACGTTTTTGTTCTTGAAAACCAATGCTTCCAAGATGTACACCCAAAGCCCAATAAGGATCACATGTAACACATCCGGCTGGATTACTTGATATGGATTTCCCCATTCCTTCTCAGCATCCTTCTCCGTGCCGAAATGCCACAGAAAAGTCTACAGAAAGGGACATGGATACACGGGGACATGGACAGTAACAAATCATGTGAATCATAATCTAGCATAACACAACCAAGGTCGAAAGGAGTGCTGCAATTGCGTTTCAACGTGTCGTAACAACTATGCTAACCAAAAATTGCGTCATTATATACTTAGTACTTACATCCATCATGACTGTTGAGTATTCTTTCGCCAACTTAGCGTCCTTGGCGTACTTCATCTGTCGCTCGACAGTCCTGTACTTGATGATGTTCGGATCCATGACGTCCAACTGCGACTTCTCAACGTAGCAGATCGAGCAGGGGCGCGCAGAGTTGTGTTGCATCGTGCATGTGACTTTGCACGTCTCGGGATAATCAGCGACGTACTCGAACAGTTTGAACCAGACGGTCCAAACTTTGCCGCTAGGATCTGTTAAGGGCAGAGAACTTCCAAAACCAGAAACAATGACACATAGAAAAAACGTATATTAGTAGGAGCCATAATGCTGCATAACAACTACATTTGAACACAATATCCAAGCATCAACAAAACACGTACGTTTTGCAAAAACGCATGAGGCTTTCAAAAACCGCAGAGCAACTCTTTTGGAACAGCTCCACTTTTTGACACGCTTCCATCTCTGGATCCGGACGTGGAAGGAGCGCTATCATTGTACGACCATGTTCCTTCCATCTCGTATCGACAGATAGATTGGCAAAGGTAAGGTACACAGGCCAGGCGCGACATCGCTCATTACCACTCAAAGTGGTCTCATCGCTCGAAATGATGAGTGGAAAAACACACTCATTGGGTCCAAGGCCTTTCTGTAGTGGGGTGAGATTGGGTGGAAGAAGAGAAAGTAAGAGATACAACACTGAAAATGTTGCTGGCTAGTGTAATAGTACACATCCCACTATAACATTGCATTTACCTGAGCACCCAACCAATAGTCCCCGTTGTGAGCTGCATCATACACTCTAATATCATCCACCATCTTTTTCTTGGCGTGATGTGTGAATCCCGGAGCGTTGCGCTTATCAACCCACTGTCAGAACTAGCAGCAGAAACAAGAATGAAGAAAGGAGGGGTTTCACTAGCAAGCAGTTGGATACATATAGCAAACCCTAATTGGGCTATACTCACTATGGAGTACCCCACTGCAGGCTAGACAATTATAACATTCTGACACACCCCCATAGCCAAAGTGGGGTGTAATCAGCACAACAAGCAGGCATAGTAATAGTTCACAATTACAAGCAAAGCTAGAGGCAATCACAGAGGGCAAGTGAGGAGGAGGACGGACTGTGAGAGGAGAGAAGATTGGAGGCGACGACTGAAGCTGCAGACACACGGGCAACAGAAGCGGCTGGCACAGTGGCTACCGGAGCAAGGGCCCCGGACTACTGGAGTAACAGACTCCGCGGCTACGACGAGCGGCAGGAGCAACGGACCCACGGGCGACTGGCGCAGCAGGCTCGCTGGGCTACCGAGATCAAGGGCTCCGGACTACTGGCGCTGCAGGCGACACGACGGCTACCTCCGCGCAACCTCCCCCAACAGTCCCACGCCCCTTTCACACACCCCTTGCTGTACCCCTAGCTCCACTCCCACGTCACCCCCCTAGCACCACTCCTTCGGCTCCCCACACACCCACCCCCCTGAGCGGCAGCTGCAGCAGCGGGAGACGGAGGAGGAGGAGGAGTAGGGGACGGCGCACACAACCGGCACCCCCACAACCGCCACCCCCACACTCCTCACCCCCAAACCCTAAAACGGGTGGCACAGGGTAGGAGCGCGGGGGACGGCGAGGGGGACGGCGCGCGGCCCCCAGGGCGCCACCACGGGACAGCGAGGGGCCGCGCGCGGCTCCCCAGGGCGCCGCGACGGGGCAGCGGGGGGTCGCGCGCGGATCCCCAGGGCGGCGCGACGGGGAATCGGGGGCCGCGCGCGGCTCCCCAGGGCGTCGCGACGTGACGACGCGAACGGGGGGGGGACGCGCGGCCCCCGGGGCGCCTCGACGGGTGACGGGATGGGGGGGACGCGCGGCCCCCGCGACGCCACGACGGGCGACGGGAGAGGGCGCCACGACGGGCGACGGGATGGCGGGGGGGTGCGCGCGGATCCCCCAGGGCGCCGCGACGAGGCGACGGGATGGCGGGGGGGGGGGGGGGGGCGCGCGGATCGATGGGGTAGAAAACCGCCGCGCGCCTCGGGGCGCACGGCGGGCAGAAAACCGCCGCGCGCCCCGAGCGCACGGCGGGATGAAAAACGCTGCGCGCTCCGGGCGCGCGGCAGGAAGAAGGGGTCATGCGCCAGGGGCGCGCGACAGCAGTAGAGCAGCGGAAGCATCGGGTGGGGCCCACCCACAGGATCGACCCAAGGGGATCGACCTGCTCTGAAACCATGTCAGAACTAGCAGCAGAAACAAGAATGAAGAAAGGAGGGGTTTCACTAGCAAGCAGTTGGATACATATAGCAAACCCTAATTGGGCTGTACTCACTATGGAGTACCCCACTGCAGGCTAGACAATTATAACATTCTGACACCCACATCCTTTCTAAGGCCTGCCAATCAACAAAACTCAATCAGATTCATGCAAGTGAGATAGAATTTACAAAACTTTATGATAACACATTACCTGTTTCAGATCCACAGTCTTGACATGAAACGTTGACGGCCATCCTCTTACAGTTACCTCAATCGTCTTAAAATCCTGTTTAGAAACTCCTAAAGCTTCTATCCCATACCTATCAACAGCTGCCTTTGTAGACCACTCTGCAAGCTGTGCTGGATCAAAACCAGGCTGCTTCACTAATCTAAAAAAGTAACTGGCATCAGGACAGCTCATTCCTGTACCCTTATTGCAACTCTGCATAAACCTAAACGTCTCTTTCTTAGTGTCGAATATAGGGCGCTCTTCCTCCTCTTCTCCGAACTCGACCTCAGCGTCGCAAAATACCTCAGTATCTTCGTCGTACCACCCATCTTCCCCATCACCCCTATCTACTACAGGTTCTTGCACTCCAAACACGAAAGGAAATGGCGGCGTCAAATCTACACGTTGTAGCGGAGGTACCAAAATCCCACGACTAGCTGTAGTGCTAAACGCAGATAACCTCTGTTAGGGTCAACCCGTCCATAGAGTAGCAAACACATGACAATACAAAGCATACACAATTAACGAATACCTCTGTTCTTACCTCTATGTCGGCAGCAAGCTCCCACAGCGTACGGTGTCTTGCATCAAGCCTAGCAAGAACGCCTGGATGTCGGGCACGGTTCATTCTGGCGGCTACTTGCAATAATAACAGATTTCGTGGATATATTTTAGTTTTGATCCTGCTTTTACTGAGGGTGCACAAAGGATGCAGATATGGACGAAATCACTGAATTACTTGTATAGGGCTTAATAATGATGCACGTACACTGGCCCACACACTTCTTGGCATGGGCCGGAAAGCCACATTAGCGAGTGTCAGATAGACTGGCCATGCTGAGACAATCCCGAAGTAGCTTCCGGAGCAAGGAAGGTTCACCGCCGTCACCAAACGAGGCCTGGGTACGACTGCAGGACTTCCAAACTCATCCCGTTCGGCCTCCCAATCGTCGTGATTATCCCTGTGGTGATATGTAACATGCATAGATCGTATTAGAGACGCATATATGCATACTCAATAACCAATCAAGCAACGTTTGACTATCCTGGATTGAGGAACTGGAAAACCGCACAGCCCAAAAACACGTGCCCCCACCATCTCCACAACCTTTGTAGCCCGAGGTTTGACGTACATTTGGGGTATCGCAGAAGCCGCACCAAAGAGTTCGCGGGCAACAGCTGTTGTGCAACACCTGTATGGATTTGGGAAGCGCAAGTCATCAAAGTGAGTGGCAGGACGGGATAGGAGATGAGGGCTGGATGGGAGAGGATGGGTGGGCAGACTGGGGGGAGGATGGGAGGGGAGAACGGGAGTGGAGAGGAGAGGAGGGCAGGATGGGAGAGGAGAGGAGGGCAGGATGGGAGAGGAGAGGAGGGCAGGATGGGAGAGGAGAGGAGGGTAGGGTTTAGGGAGAGAACCGGAGGGCTGGACGGCAGAGGAGCGGAGGGTTTGACGGGAGAGGAGGGGAGGGTTTGACGAGAGAGGAGCAGAGGAGTACGTGTAGGGAGAGAAGTAAACAACCCTAACATATAAAACGAAAGGACAGGTGCATCGCAGAGGGAAACGGGGAGGCGAAAGTACCCAGTGTGAGAGTTTAGTAAGGGAGTCGCAGATTTCATGGATTGATCAAACACGGCAAAGCAAACCCCAACCGTGCAGGTGTCACCCACCCATGCATGTGATCCCCGACCGTGTATGTGCACCAGTCTCGTGAGTGGAAATTCCCATAAAACGGGTGAGTAAGCGTACCTTGCGCGCACAACAAGGTCGCACTCCCTCGAACTCCTTCACTGAGAGAGTGCGGCGCGTCCCGAAGTCAAGGCTTCCGGCCCGGATTCTGACCCACACGAGGGCTGGTGAAGTTCACTGTCCGATTTGCGTTTGAATTGTCGTCACCACATCGCTTGAAACGCCCGTAAGAAGGACAACCACCAAGTCGACAATGCGATGAACGCGTTTTTCTGCTTGAAAGTGGAAGACAAACGAAGGAGAGGGGGGGGGGGGGAGGGAGAAAGGGAGAGGGGAGGGGGGGACAGAAAGAGAGAGTGGAGAGGAAGACAGAAAGGGAGAGGGGAGGGGAGGACAGAGAGGGAGAGGGGAGGGGAGGACAGAAAGGGAGAGTGGAGGGGAGGACAGAAAGGGAGAGAGGGGGGGGGAGGACAGAAAGGGAGAGTGGGGGGAGGACAGAAAGGGAGAGGGGGGGGAGGACAGAAAGGGAGAGGGGGATAGGAGAGGAATGCAGGAAGGGAGAGGAGAGGAAGGCATGAAAGGAGAGGAGATGAAGGCAAGAAGGGAGAGGAGATGAAGGCAGGAAGGGAAAGGAGATGAAGGCAGGAAGGGAGAGGAGATGAAGGCAGGAAGGGAGAGGAGTTGAAGGCAGGAAGGGAGAGGAGATGAAGGCAGGAAGGGAGAGGAGATGAAGGCAGGAAGGGAGAGGAGATGAAGGCAGGAAGGGAGAGGAGATGAAGACAGGAATGGAGAGGAGATGAAGGCAGGAAGGGAGAGGAGTTGAAGGCAGGAAGGGAGAGGAGTTGAAGGCAGGAAGGGAGAGGAGATGAAGACAGGAATGGAGAGGTGATGAAGGCAGGAAGGGAGAGGAGATGAAGGCAGGAAGGGAGAGGAGATGAGACAGGAAGGGAGAGGAGATGAAGGCAGGAAGGGAGAGGAGATGAAGGCAGGAAGGGAGAGGAGTTGAAGGCAGGAAGGGAGAGGAGTTGAAGGCAGGAAGGGAGAGGAGATGAAGACAGGAATGGAGAGGAGATGAAGGCAGGAAGGGAGAGGAGATGAAGGCAGGAAGGGAGAGGAGATGAGACAGGAAGGGAGAGGAGTTGAAGGCAGGAAGGGAGAGGAGTTGAAGGCAGGAAGGGAGAGGAGATGAAGACAGGAATGGAGAGGAGATGAAGGCAGGAAGGGAGAGGAGATGAAGGCAGGAAGGGAGAGGAGATGAGACAGGAAGGGAGAGGAGATGAAGGCAGGAAGGGAGAGGAGATGAAGGCAGGAAGGGAGAGGAGATGAAGGCAGGAAGGGAGAGGAGATGAAGTCAGGAAGGGAGAGGAGATGAAGGCAGGAAGGGAGAGGAGATGAAGGCCGGAAGGGAGAGGAGATGAAGGCAGGAAGGGAGAGGAGATGAAGGCAGGAAGGGAGTGGAGATGAAGGCCTGAAGGGAGAGGAGATGAAGGCAGGAAGGGAGAGGAGATGAAGGCAGGAAGGGAGAGGAGTTGAAGGCAGGAAGGGAGAGGAGATGAAGGCAGGAATGGAGAGGAGATGAAGGCAGGAAGGGAGAGGAGATGAAGGCAGGAAGGGAGAGGAGTTGAAGGCAGGAAGGGAGAGGAGATGAAGTCAGGAATGGAGAGGAGATGAAGGCAGGAAGGGAGAGGAGATGAAGGCAGGAAGGGAGAGGAGTTGAAGGCAGGAAGGGACAGGAGATGAAGGCAGGAAGGGAGAGGGGATGAAGGCAGGAAGGGAGAGGAGATGAAGCCAGGAATGGAGAGGAGAGGACTGTAAGGAAGGGTAGAGAAGGAGCGAAAGAAACCCAAGCAGAATTCGAGAGGGACTCGGCGCACGTACCATGCGTCACGCCTGCGGATTCCGGAGCTCACACCGTGCGCCACGCCTGCGGATTCCGGAGCTCACACTGTGCGCCACGCCTGCGGATTCCGGAGCTCACACCGTGCGCCACGCCTGCGGATTCGGGAGCTCACACCGTGCGCCAAGCCTGCGGATTCGGGAGCTCACACCGTGCGCCACGCCTGCGGATTCCGGAGCTCACACCGTGCGCCACGCCTGCGGATTCCGGAGCTCACACCGTGCGCCACGCCTGCGGATTCCGGAGCTCACACCGTGCGCCACGCCTGCGGACTCGGGAGCCCAGGATTGCACGTAGAAACGCCACAAGAACGAGACCGCGTGGATCAACGGTTGTGCAGAACCTGGGTGGAGAAGATAGCAGGATAGGACAAAAGAGGGCGTCATGGGAGAGGAGAGGAGAGCAGGATGGGATAGAAGAGGAGAGCAGGATGGGAGAGGAGAGGAGAGCAGGATGAGAGAGGAGAGGAGAGCAGGATGAGAGAGGAGAGGAGAGCAGGATGGGAGAAGCGAGGAGAGAAGGATGGGAGAGGAGAGGAGAGCAGGATGGGAGAGGAGAGGAGAGCAGGATGGGAGAGGAGAGGAGAGCAGGATGGGATAGGAGAGGAGAGAAGGATGGGAGAGGAGAGGAGAGCAGAGCAGCGTGAGAGAGGAGAAGAGGGCACGATGGGAGAGGAGGGGAGGACAGGATGGGAGAGGAGTAGAGGACAGGATGGGGAAAAGAGAGGAGGGTAGGATGCGTTGAGGGCGTGAGGGGAGAAAAGGAACGAAAGAGGTCCAGGCAGAAGACGAGAGGAGAGGTGAAGCGCGAGTGGTCGTGGTGTAGAGTGGCGTCAGGATATGCACACCTTTCGTCACACTCCCGCAAATTTCGATGACCACGACGAGCCACGCACCCGATGACCACACCGAGCCACACTCCCGCAGATTCCGGGAGCTCAGCGAGGCACCGCAACACGCAACACAAACGATTCCCCGTGGAGCACTGGTTGTGCAGAACATGGGCGGAGAGGAGAGCGGGATTGGATAGGAGGGAGGGTAGGATGGGAGAGGAGGGGAGGGCAGGATGGGAGAGGAGGGGGGGTTTACTGTGAGATGAGGGGAGGACAGGATGGGAGAGATGAGGAGGACAAAATGTAAGTGAGGATGAGGACAGGATGGGATAGCGGATAGCGCATAGTAAGGGAGTCGGGGCGAAAGTGTGTGCCCCAGGATCTTGATAGAAATGCGCCTTCCGTTGGAGGTACTCATACCTTTGCGCTCACACTGTGCTACACCCCCTGGAACACCCTCGCGCATTTAGCTCCCGGATTCCGACGCACACACCTCGCGACGTCCTGCCAATCTAGGCGAAGGCCTCAACAAACAAGCCTCAGCACCAACGTGCGCGACCGTTTGTGTTGCTGTAACCGCGTCGCTTGACAATCCCGAGCCGTGGTCGCGCGTCCAGTTGACAAAGGGATGAGGATGGTTTGCTGCAGGGAAGAGCGAGATTATGGTATGGCGGAGAGACAGGGACGTGCGATGAGCAGTTAAGGAAGTCTTGTGAAAGGAAAAAAGATCGCTACGGTGAAATATCGAGACAGGGAACGTTGCACAGCTTCGCAAAAGGCATGGTACGCAGGGTACTAGACGGACAGCACCAGTGCAGAGATATGATATCGCGTTTTTGGGGCTCACCCAGTGTATGTCAACCTCATACAGAGGCGAGTCGATTAGTCAGGGGAATGGAGGTCAAGAATCTGCAAGCTAAGCTGTGCCCATCGAGAGAATGTGAGGAATGTTTGCTATGGAAAGGGAAGCCTTGCGGATGACGTGAGGTAAGCTGAGGAGAGTAAGAGTGAAGGGGGACAGAGAAACCAAAACGACATAGGAAGCAATCCTGGGCAGAACACTTGAACAGGAGACATGGGAATGAAGCACTAGAAGACAGAGGTCAAAGTGTCTTCTTCCTAGGGTGATATTGTATGCTGTACATAGCAACTTGGCCAGCCTGGATCCAAACAAGCTACTATGGCCAGGAGACACCAGTGGCCTCACTTTGGGACCTGAAGCAAAACCGTTTTGATGTTGCCAGCATCAAGATGTAGGTTTCACATGAGACAAGGTTCTAAACCATGGTTTGCTTCAAACAAGGGCAACCACTTGGCAGCCAGCATCAAATCCAGCAGAACGTTCCTAGCTCAAGATCAAGCATATGGACCAGATTCATGGCACTGATGGCATGGTTACAAGTGGGGCACATGGCAGGAGTTGCATTCATTGGATTGTAGCTTCTAAGAAAGCATGTTGGCAGCTTTGAAGTACAGCATTGTATAGCTGGATGGCTGGTGTGATGCATCAAACAGCAAGTAGGGGTGGGATTTTGAAGCCCCTTAGAAGCAACACCAACAAGAAATGACCACAATCAACTGTTGCCCACATGTTCTGAACTGTAAAGCTGTCCTTCCATTGCCACCTCACCTCACATCACATGCATCTATTAAACACTCTTTACAATGGACCACTACCCTCCAAGATCCTTGCACTGTTTCGGGCCATCAGACGCACAAACAAGCGTCACGTGCTGCGTAGTTGTGCGAATGAGCCCAAGCCAGTTCCAATGGCAAGGGAATTGAGTGTAATAACAGAATATGTGAAGAAATGGTGCTAAAATAAACAATCAAACGACGCAACGGTGACATGTTGCGCGCTGGCATGTCCTTGCACTGTTTCAGGCCATCAGACGCACAAACAAGCGTCACTTGCTGCGTAGTTGTGCGCTTGAGCCCAAACCAGTTCCAATGGCAGGGGAATTGAGTGCAATCACAGAGTATGTGAATAAATGGTGCTAAAATAAACATTGAAACGACGAAACGGTGACATGTTGCGCGCTGGCCTGTCCTTGCACTGTTTCAGGCCATCAAACGCACAAACAAGCGTCACTTGCTGCGTAGTTGTGCGAGAGCCCAAGCCAGTTCCAATGGCAAGGGAATTGAGTGCAATAACAGAATCTATGAAGAAATGGTGCTAAAATAAACAATGAAACGACGAAACTGTGACATGTTGCGCGCTGGCCTGTCCTTGCACTGTTTCAGGCCATCAAACGCACAAACAAGCGTCACTTGCTGCGTAGTTGTGTGAATGAGCCCAAACCAGTTCCAATGGCAAGGGAATTAAGTGCACTAACAGAATATATGAAGAAATGGTGCTAAAATAAACAATCAAACGACGAAACGGTGACATGTTGCGCTCTGGCCTGTCCTTGCACTGTTTCGGGCCATCAGACGCACAAACAAGCGTCATGTGCTGCGTAGTTGTGCAAATGAGCCCAAACCAGTTCCTCTGGCAAGGGGATTAAGTGCACTAACAGAATCTGTGAAGAAATGGTGCTAAAAAAAACAATGAAGCGACGAAACGCGCTGGCCTATCCTTGCAAAGTTTCGGGCCATCAGACTCACAAACAAGCGTCACGTGCTGCGTAGTTGTGCGAATGAGCCCAAACCAGTTCCAATGGCAGGGGAATTGAGTGCACTAACCGAATACGTGAAGAAATGGTGCTAAAATAAACATTGAATCGACGAAACGGTGACATGTTGCGCGCTGGCCTGTCCTTGCACTGTTTCAGGCCATCAAACGCATAAACAAGCGTCACGTGCTGCGTAGTTGTGCGAATGAGCCCAAACCACTTTAATGGCAAGGGAATTGAATGCACTAACAGAATATGTGAAGAAATGGTGCTAAAATAAACAATGAAACGACGAAACGGTGACATGTTGCGCGCTGGCCTGTCCTTGCACTGTTTCGGGCCATCAGACGCACAAACAAGCGTCACGTGCTGCGTAATTGTGCGAATGAGCCCAAACCAGTTCCAATGGCAGTGGACTTGAGTGCACGGACAGAATATGTGAAGAAATGGTGCTAAAATAATCATTGAAACGACGAAACGGTGGGATGTTGCGCGCTGGCCTGTCCTTGCACTGTTTCAGGCCATCAGACGCACAAACAAGCGTCACGTGCTGCGTAGTTGTGCGAATGAGCCCAAACCACTTCCAATGGCAAGGAAATTAAGCGCAATAACAGAATATGTGAATAAATGGTGCTAAAATAAACATTGAAACGACGAAACGGTGGGATGTTGCGCGCTGGCCTGTCCTTGCACTGTTTCAGGCCATCAAACGCACAAACAAGCGTCACGTGCTGCTAGTTGTGCGAATGAGCCCAAACCACTTCCAATGGCAAGGGAATTAAGTGCAATAACTGAATCTGTGAATAAATGGTGCTAAAATAAAAAATGAAACGACGAAACGGTGACATGTTGCGCGCTGGCCTGTCCTTGCACTGTTTCAGGCCATCATACGCACAAACAAGCGTCACGTGCTGGGTAGTTGTGCGAATGAGCCCAAACCAGTTCCAATGGCAAGGGAATTGAGTGCACTAACAGAATCTGTTAAGAAATGGTGATAAAATAAACAATGAAATGACGAAACGGTGACATGTTGCGCGCTGGCCTGTCCTTGCAATGTTTCAAACCATCAGACGCACAAACAAGCGTCACGTGCTGCGTAGTTGTGCGAATGAGCCCAAACCAGTTCCTAAAGCGCAGGATGGGAGTGAACTACCTGAATCTGTGAGGAGATTGTGCTAGAAAAAACATAGCAACGACGATGTCTTCCGTTGCGACGGTCCAGATGCCTTCATACCGTTCGCGTCGCTTCGACCCTTCGTCTACATACTCCCTTCAGTACACCTCGCTCTTTCTACCGCTATAAATCCACATTGACGTTTCTTATTTCATTATTCGTAACATATCAGACATTTTGGACTACAAACATAGTAGTTATGATCCCTAAAATCTATCGAAACATGCCTGTAGTAGGAGCATTATAACAGCCAACAAGATGAAACAGGTTACTGTCAAACATTATATATGTCACTGCTGTGTAGGCTACAGTGGGTTAGCCTTTAGGGGGTACATTACTCTAGGGTTTCCTACTTGTATCCCCAACCTTTCTAGTTCAAACACTCTTGTTCCTTTTAACATGGTATCACGAGCCTAGGTTGCCACCTAGGACCGCTTTCTACTACGGGCCCACCATTCCGCTAGAAGCGCCCTCGTGCGCCCTACCTTACGTGCGCCCTCGTGCGCCGTTCTCTGCTCGTGCGCCCTCGTGCGCCTTTTTCTGCTAGTGCGCCCTCGCGCGCCCCGCCCTTCGTTCTGCCAGCGTGCCGTCCTGCAGCCCTCGCGCTGCCTCCTGCTGCCCTAGGCCAGTGCGACGCCCCTGCAAGCTAGTAAGGCCCTCGAGCCGCCCCTGCAGGTCCGTCAGGCCCCCGAGCCGCCTCTGCAGACCCGTCAGGCCCCCGAGCCGCCTCTGCAGGCCCGTCAGGCCCGAGAGCCGCCCCTGCAGGCCCGTCAGGCCCGCGCGCAGCCTCTGCCCGACCGCGCGCCGCCCCTGCAGGCCCTCGCCGCCCGCACGCAGCCTCTGAGGCCCGTCAGGCCAGCGCGCGACCCCGTTAGGTCGCTGTCGCGGCCCTGTCAGGTCGCAGTCGCGGCCCCGCCGACGCGGACGCGGCCCCGCCCTGCAGTAACGCGGCCGCGCCCCACTGCCCGCCACGTCGCCCTGCCCGCGACGTCGCCACCTGCCCGCGGCGTCGCCACCTACCCGCGGCGTCGCCACCTGCCCGCCGCGTCGCCCTGCCCGCCGCGTCGCCCCTGCCGGCGGCGTCGCCACCTGCCCGCGGCGTCGTCACCTGCCCGCCGCGTCGCCCTGCCCGCCGCGTCGCCCCTGCTTGCGGCGTCGCCCCTGCCCGCCGCGTCGCCCTGCCCGCCGCGTCGCCCCTGCCCGCGCGTCGCCCCTGCCCGCTGCGTCGCCCTGACCTACCCTGCGCCTGGCCCCTGGAGCAGCCGCCTCTGGAGCAGCCGCCCCTGGCCCCTGGAGCAGCCGCCACTGCAGCAGCCGCCCCTGGCCCCTGGAGCAGCCGCACCAGCAGCCGCCCTTGGCCCCTGGAGCAGCCGCCCTTGCAGCAGCCGCCCCTGGCCCCTGGAGCAGCTGCCTCTCCTGCAGCCGCCCCTGGCCCCTAGAGCAGCCGCCCCTGCAGCAGCCGCCCCTGGCCACCTGGAGCAGCCGCCACTGCAGGAGCCGCCACTGCAGCGGCAGCCCCTGCAGCAGCCGCCCCTGGCCCCTGGACCAGCTACTGCTGCGGCCCGGCCCCGCCCTGCAGCTGTGGCGGCCCCGCTGTCGCCGCCGTCTTGCGCCTGCCCTTACCACCACTGGTGAGCACTGCCCTGCCCGCACTACTACCGTTGCTATTGCTGCTAC